TTTTATTTTGATGAAATACTTGGCATCTATATTCAACAAATCTTAGATCAGAACTTAATTTCACTAAGGCAACAAGGGAAATATTTGAGAATTAAAATGAAAGGTTTTATGACAAAATTCAGATATAAACACTAACAAAATGTACATTGTAAAGTTCTTTATTTTTAGTTAATGTGATTGTGCTGAGAGAAATATTCTTTCCTGAGAAAAAAAAAAAAAAGTTACAAGAAAGATTATATGAGAAATTTAGCTGCCCCATTTATGCAAAATATTGCAAAGTTTAAAGTAATTTGTAACAATAAAAACACTAAGAGTATGCAGACAAGATTAATAAGATAAGGTGTGCGTTGTCTTATTAAAAAAAAAAAAGCCTAATTTACCACCTGCATTTATAATAAAGGTGTGCCAAAAGAAGAGAAAAATAACTATTTTATAAGCATTTATTAAAGTTCTGGTAATCAATGTTAGCTCTAGTCCATCCCATAAAATCATTCAAACCCTTTTTAGTAAAAAAATAAAAAAGTTACTAGGGTGGATTAAATAATTTAAAGAGACAGATATTAATTAATTAATTTCAACAGTAATGTCAAATAAATTAATTTTTCAACATAAGGCAACCCCCAAACGTCTTATAATTTGAGAACAATCTTGGCTTAATATTCATTTCACCTCTACAAATCTAACTACTCATCAAGTCAGACTTTCAGAAACATCATTCAGGTTAGATTTTCAACATTCAAAAATAGATGTAATCACCTGTAACCATTTAAAACATAAGTGGTTTCAAATCTAAAGATTAAAAAAAAAAAACCCAAATGTTGCCAAACTTTCTAACAAATAAATTGTTTAATTTTATAAATTTACAAGATTTTTTAGAATCCTTTTAAATAAAAAACAAACTTGCTGAAAAGCCACAAGTTATGATCATAGTGTCACCCAGTACTGACCACCAGATAGAATGCTATTGAGAAAATAATTAAAATTCAATTTTGACATAAAAAAAACTGTATACTGCTGAAGATATTCACTAACAATTATCTTTACAAAATATCTAAATAAGCATGTGCATTGAAAAAAAAAAAAAAAAAAAAAACTAAGCTGATCAAATATGTAAACAATATAACAAATTGATGTCATTTAATATTTGTGAATGAATTTAACAGTTATAAAGTGAATAAAATGAGAACAAAGCCAAAAAACCTATTGATTGCAATGTGAATACAAATTTGAGGGACAAAAATTATCCTACACTGATGCTGAATAGCAACAAGAAATTTCTCCATAATCAAGCAAATAAATAAGAATTCCTTTTAGATTCATATCAATTCCACACAAATTCATCAAAGAGAAATTTTGTATAAACTAAGGGCTAAGACCAAACTTGAATCAAATATTAAACACCTACAATTTTAAGAAATCAGTGAAAATATTTGACACTGATATTGATGTAGAAAATGCAGCACCAAGACTGCCCCACCCCAACAAATACATAGCAAGCATGATTGGTTTTTTTTGTAGATTTTCTCGGCAACATTAAGTCAACAAAATATTTTTTTTTCTACAGGAGATACACTTCCAACAGACCTTATGGGCTTTGTAATGTTAACCTATCTCTTCAAATTCAAACTATCATTACACAATTGAACACAACTCTTCCAACCTAACAATATAACCACTAAGCTATTTAACCCAAGTAAAACAAAAATCATCTATTTTTAATTGATGCTCGTTAATTCATTTTTATTTTTAACACTACTGTAGATTCTAAATAGTTTACATATTTTACTAACATCATCAAGTGGTTAATCATTTTAAGGCTATTTGGAGAAGGGTGGAGGTCAGATTAATTACAATGCAACAATGAAGGAAAGAAACAGAAATAAAAGAATTCTATCAAGAATTCAAGCCAAATATAAGTCAAGAGAAAAAGAAAAAAAAAAACATTTAAGGTATGTTATGAGAAACTACCTGAGAAAAAGGATTTATAGAAATACACAGAAAACACTAAGCTGTTCAAATGAAATGCATTCAAATAAAATGAAAGAAAAACGACATTTGTCAATAGAGGGAATTAAGAGAATACTCAAAAATTAAAATATTACAAGAAAAAGGGTTTTTCTTCTGACTAATTTTAGTTGTTGAATCATTCAAATACGAAATCTCAAGTAAAACCATTTTCACTTTCACATAGAGAATTCTTCAAAACTAATTTTTTGGTTCTTAAAAAAAGTTTGGATTGTGATAATTTAGGGAATCAACTAAAAGGTCGAATTCTATGGATGCTACAAAATTCCTAAGAATAGAGTAATTTGTAAAAAGAGTAAAACCGCTAACCAATAAATATACAAAAATTTATATACCATAACAACTAAGTTTTTCTCTTGAACTTTCCGGGGGGGGGGGGGTTGAAAAAACATACATGTGGTTTTTAAAGACAAATCTTAAACAAGTGGTTGAGAGTACATAATTAAACATTTTCTAAGTGAAAGCTTAGAAAAGTTTACTTGAAAATTATGAGTGAATTAAGAATGATAAGTTCACTAAAGACATTTTTATACGAAATAAAACAAAGAAGTGAGACATTTTAAAAACCTTTCTTGTTGATTGCATTAATTGTAAAAAAAAAATTAAAGATTTTTACATGAAAAAAAAAACAAACAAACAAAAAAAAACAAACAAACAAAAAAGTGGTAAATTAAATTTTAGTGTGTAAATTTTAAGAGAAAAGGGAGGGGGTCACATCAGGTTTAACTCAGAAATTGTTGTAGTGTGAAGAAAGAAAAAAAAAAAAAAAAAAAAAAAAAAGATCGACAAAGAATTTCAAAATGGGGTGGGAGACGAGAAGGGGGTCAGTTAGCATTTTTAACCTTTTCCCTCCCAGAAGTGAACAGGAGTGTAAATATTTAGTTTATAAACGTGAAAATGACTTACATAATCGTGAAAAGCTTTTGCTTCACTAGAATGATCACATGTATCTCTCCTCTCTGGTGCTGCACAGTATAAATCCCAAAATACGCTGAAATAGAAACGGAAAAAAAAAAAAAAAAAAAAAAAAAGACAGACAAAATAATGAGTTCCAAATTTGCCCGAATCGCCGCCATAGCGAAAAGGAGGGGAAGAGAAAGAAAGACACAGACAGAAGAAAAATAAAAAGGATTGGCTTTCATACAATTTTTAAGAAAAACAAAAGATACAACGATAGAAAATGATGCAAGATCAAACATTTCTTCATTTTTTTTTTTATCAAATACGAAATATAGATTGAAAACTCAGTTCGTATGAAGAATCGAAAGATGATTTTAAAACTCAACAATGCATCATCAAGGATGTGAAATAAGCGAGCCAAACGTTTCGTGTTGTCTTCTTGCTTATTGTTGTTAGGAATTAAAAAAAAAAAAAAAAAAAAGATGGGTTTTTACTTCTTTCCATTCAGATTATTGCCACTGTTTAGATTTAAAATAATTATCAAATTAGAAAGAATAGAAATGTTTTTTTTGTTTTAGAATAAACGGAAGAAATTAAAAAAACAAGAGGGTAGGTTGTCATACGAGATAAAAATTGTTGTCCTGATTAAGATTTGGGTCCGTTGATTTAGAGTTAAAAATTCAAACGTCTTTTTAATCGAATAGACAAAACGAAAGGAGAGAAACATAGCAATAGCTATGAAAATATATCAATATATTTTACACAAATTACTTAAACGGATAAATTACATTAATAGACAAAAAATATCAGGTAAGAATGAAAGACATTTAAAGGCCATATTGGAAAATGAATGAGCACGCAAGATATTTTTACAAAAGGAAAATTGAAATGTATGACAAATTATAGATGTAAATTTTATGTTTTCTTTTTGTGTGTATGGAAAATATAACTTGACAACACAACTGAGAATTGAAATATTTTTAAAACTTGTAAGGATGAGGGCGCCGACAAAAGAACAAGAGATCGTCCCATCTCTTTTGTTTAGGTTTTTTTTTCTCTTAAAAAGAAATATCCTACAAATTTAGTAGAAACAATGTAACATTGGAAAAGGAAGGTTTTTCTCAAGTTTTAAGATTAAAGAGAAGCAAACCTGCATCGTTTAAGATTTAAGGGATTCTAATTTGATTCCTGACAAATTATGAAAAAGAAAACATGAGCAATAAAACGATAATTTCAAATTTTCTATCAATCGAAAGGAAAAAAAAAAAAAAAGAATTTATCAAAGGAAAAACTTTTGATAAAGTTTTCATATTTTTTTTTTATGGAAACAAAACTTGCTATAATCGAAAGGAAGAAAATAATTTATTTAACTAATTTTTAGACAATAAAGATATTGGAGGAAAATACTTAACAAAAGGACAATGTCATAAACAACATTCTTTTGTTGTTGTTTATTTGGGAAGGAGGATTTTAAAACAATGCAAAAGTAAACATTCATCCTCAATATGGATGAGGCAAAAATCAAAATTTTCCAAATAAAAGATAAGAAATTATCAGACCCCCTCCCCATAAAATAGCCCCCACATATTTTTTTTTAAATTAAAAAAAAAAAAAAAAAAAAAAAAAAAAGCCATGTTTACATTTTGGCCTTATTTTTCTTTTAAATATATTAAGAAAAAAATGGTTGAAAAATGTTATTTTTTTTTCTCTCCAATATTTTAGAAGATTAAGAAAAAAAAAAAAAAGAACCAGGGTCTTTAACCACTACTCACCACCACCACGAATGTAAAAATCCCGGCGGTTCACCTAACGTAATATTTTTTTCCCATCGAATCTGAAAGGAAAACAAGTTACATTATATAAAAAAAAAATATCCAAAATATATAAATTTCAAAGAAAATGAGAAAAAAATGGTTCCAAAGTAATCTCTTATTGAGATAACAGACTGTGAAAACTGGGAACACGTGGACAAAATAAGACAAATTTATGAATCGAGTCAAAATATTTAGACAAAAACATTTTTTTTTCTCTTTACAAAATAAAAATACAATAGATTGTTATTATTATATACTTACCTCTGATAAAAACGTCTGTGCACTTTTCTGGGCTCCGACGTGTAACAAATATTCATACACATATAATGCTAATCTGGAGAAAAGAGACGAAAAAGGAGAAAACTGAGGGGAAAAAATACAACAATTTTAAAAAATATATTTACAAAAACTAAAGAAATTCTTGGCTTGAAGCCAGGACACCAAATTGACATTTTACTTGATTTAAATTCTAATAAACAATCTTTCTAGAGAAATGTTTATCTTTTCTTTTTAATAGGACATTTTCGCAATCAAGTAAAAAAGTAAAATAAGTCCTCGAACATCGAATAAAGAGGTTTTGAAAGAAAATTTCGTAGATCTATATTAATAAAGAGGGTCTTTTAACGATAGAATCAAGAAATATAACCTTTTTTTTTAACTAAGTTTAAGGTTTTGTTTTAAATTTATTTACGAAGAGAGTAAATTGTACTGTAGTCAATAACAATTCAACAACAAGCCGGAAAAAAGGTGGCTATTTAACAACTAAGATTAAAACGGTAATATTTAAGAAACAAAAATAAAATAGGTTTGCAAAATAATATTTATTTACATTTTAGAAGTAAAATCGATGATTTAAAAATTGATTGTATTTTTTTTTTAACGAACCGATCACAAATAAAAACAAAGAAAGCACAGATTTTTATTTGGGAATTTTTTTATTATTATAAATAAGTCATAAATGTATTTCGAAAACCCTAAAGAAAACAAAAAGATGATTTTTTTTTTTAATAGTTTTACTTCGTTGTTTTTTGTTGTTGTTTAAGTCGTCCTAAATATCAACAACATAAGAAATAATAGACGAATAGAAGTTCGTTACTGATAATTATTATTATTATTCTTTATTTATTATTAGATTTTTTCCTCCTCTGTGAAATATACATTATTTTAGGATTAAAACAAGTTATTTCAACCTAAGTGGGGAGAAATCACATTTTTCATGCATTCAAGTTGGAATGTGTTCCCACCATGCCCAACAGAAAAGAAAGATCAATCGATTATATATATATATATATATATATATATATATATAATAAAAACTCTAGTGTAAAAATATGTAATTTGTTATTGCTGTTTTAAGGTTGGTTGTATTATTAAATAAAAAATAAGGTAATAATTAGATTTTTTTAAAAATAGTTTACTTTAACAATAAAAATAAGAATGGCTATTTTTCTCTTAAATCTTATGTTCTATGTGTGTGTGTATTTTATATATATATATATAGGTAGGTAGATAGATAAGTAAGAAAAAAAACAAAACAAAAAATAAAGCAAAGAATCACTATATACTTACTTTTCTCTTGCCTGAGCGTCAGACGGCACTGTGGAGCCTTTCCCTTTGGCATACATGCTTGGAGCTGAAGTGTCACGGCACCTGTCAAGCCATCAAGGACGACACTGACCCCGTTGCCTTGCCAACGTCAAGGAGACCTGTCAAAAGCCAAGTTACCATTGGCTGGTTAATTATAGAAACTTTGGAGTACCTTAAAACAGTCCGACATCATGTGCGGACCACTACTACCACCACGACGAGCAGCAGCAGCAACCGCCGCCATCACTACTAATACTAATATTGCAGCCGACATTATAGTTTCCTTGTCTTTAAATATTGCTTTTACTACCTTTCAGGGTGGCTATATATTTTTTCTTCTCTATTTTCATTGTATATTACAACACGGACTATTGAGTTTTGAAATAAAATAATTTTTGTTCGGAAACAAATGATTTTCTGTTATTTTTTTTTCTTTAAATTTAAACAAAGGAGATCAGAGCAAAAGAAAAAAAATCATTACCTTAATTTTTTTGTTGTTGAACTCACAACTACAACCTTCCTTTGACGAATAATAGAAAGATACATTGAAAAAGAAATTAAAATTACTGTTAAAAGTCGTTTTATGATTTTATCAGTTTTTTTTTTCTTCTCGCATTTAACGACTTGAAACTCCAGTTTAGGAATAACGGATATTCGCTTTATGGTAACTTGTAGTAGTAGTACTAGTACGACTAAGTCGTTGGGCTTTTTTCCTTTCTTTTCTTATTTCTTTATTATTTCAATGTACGACTTTGACTGAATCGCTTCAGCTTTTGTTTCATAATAAAATAAATATATTATTCAATTCAATGAAAAAAGAAATGTTCCCAGTTTTTATTTTTGTATTTTTAAAATACGATTTTAGATTGACAAAGATTTAGAAATTGGCTTTTTAAAATGTCTATTATTTTTTTCCAGTTATTTAAAAACCCCTACACAAAAATGCGAGACATGGTCGTATGGTTACTCAACTGCTACTACTTTCTATTATTTAAAAAAATTAAAGAGACAACTGAAAAAAATTTAAAATGAATATTTTAAAAATTAAAAGGCATAAATTCCGTTCAAGACATTAAAAATAAGAGATAAACCACGACACCATTTTTAACGAAGACGATTATTACTTTAGTAATACTACTAAAGTGTTTTTTGTTTTTTTAATATCTATATGTGCAACTTCAACTCGTATCGTTCGTTTAAAAATCTACGGCTTTATATTCAGGTAAAAACAAAAAAATGTTTTTAAATTGATTCAGCTCTCTGGTCTCTAAACCAAGAAAAACCTCAGCCCAACAAATAATGATCCAACTATTTTAACTGCTACTTTTTCACTCAATGTTCTATTTTACTTTGACTCAGTCTTAAAGGATTTTTATAAATCTTAACGTGTCCATAAATTGATCTTATTCCTCTCATATATATATATATATATATATATATATATATATATATATATAAAACACGGTGTGTTTTTAACTTAATTCTAACAGACGAATTGGTATTTTAGAGAATAAAATTATATACCACTTTATTACCTACTCTACTGAAATACTTGTTTGTTTTTTTTTAAATAATTATTTTCCTTAAAGAATTTATTACTACTTGTATATTTATTTTGTCAAAATTTTTATTATCTCCCACATAAGAAAATGATTATTTTAAATTTAGTCTCACTCTTTGAGTCTTATGGCTACTACTAGTACAGCGACTTTTTCGCCTTCACACAACTTACTGACTCTTAGAAATAACGTATATAAAATAACATATAAGCTAAAAATTTGTTAAAAGCATTTGGTATGATTTGTGAGGAGAAAAAAAAAGGTTATTTAATTTAATTTCAATAAATTTATGAAAAGCTTAATTTTTTTTTTTAATTATTTGCGAACAAATAACTTAATTTATCTAAAAATAAAAACAAACTGGGGTTACAAAAATTATAAAATTATTTATTTATTAGTATTTAAAATGATTACTATTATTACTACTTTTTTAAATTTATTTTTTAGACAGCTAGTAGTGACTTTCTTTGAAGAGAGGGCGAGTTCAGTATTATATTATTGTATGTCATTCATTTTATTTTTTATTTAAACAGTCTGATCTGATATAATAATATTGGTATTTATTTCCTAGTAAAGATTGTTTTTATTTAGTACTTTCTGGGTGGAGGGTACCATGGCTACAGCTAAGACTTTTTTTCTTTGAAATAGTTTCAAAACCAATTCATCCCCTTCTAACTATTTTTTTTTTTATTTATTTGCCTGATTTATAAAAAATGTAAAATTTTTCTATCTAATACAAAAAATAAAGTTAAAAAAAAAAAAAATACACTTTTTATTAAAAACAATTGAAAAAAGATTATCATATTTGAGCTTTTCTTTTCTTTCAATTTAAATTAAAAGAAAAATACTGAATTTTAAACTGTTAAATTCCCTCATTTTCCTGTTTAGCTTAAAATAATCCTTTTTGATCTTAGATATTTCATATCTACAACTGCTACTACATAAGATTTTCTTAAATTCCATTTTAAATATTTAATTTTTTAACAAATCACCTAAAATATTAATTTCTTTTTATGTTTACTAAATTTATTCAACTGTATGGCAATTTTTGTTACATTTAGTGTATTCCTTTGTAAATGTTTCGTTTATTTTAGTAATTCCAACATCTTATTGAACCTGTTTTATAGGACAATGGCCTTCATGGAGTTAATTATTTTTGCTAGTATGAATTAAGCTTTTAAATATAAAGTATAATTATTTTACAACTTTTTTTTTTATTCTGAATGGCGCTTATTAAATGTAAAACAATTTTTGAATACATTTTTTTTCGTGCCTTTGAGCTTTCTTTAATTTATAAAGCAAATACAAGGCGCCAACTAACAATTTTTGAAGCTATGATTCAGTTTAACACACAGAAGGTCCTTAACTTAAGGACGAATGTTAAAGTTAACCCCCATTTTTGGTGTGGGGGGAGGGGCAGTTCAATATCAATACTTAAAAAAGTTGCTGCAAAATTATATTGATTTATGTCACGTGATCATTAAATTGATCAATTTATTTTCTTTAAACTCCAACAAACAACTGTTATTAAATAACATTGTCAAGTTAAAATACTTTGTAATTTTCTCCTAAATTAAGATTTTTAAATTGTCGGAAAAGTTAACCCCACTACCACTGTCTAAGAAATAAAAATAAAATTGAAAAACTCCTTTTATAAGTTAAAAAAAAAAAAAAAAAAAATTGAAATTTGAATTGTTTTTTTTTCGAAACACAGAATGAATTTTTTTTTTTTTGCGCTTTTGGTTTAGTTGCTTTTAAGTTTGTATTTTAAAGGAAAATAATTTTAAGTCATAGTCTGTATACAGTTTTTTTTTTTTGCTTGATTATTATTTTCTTCCAACGAAATATTTTTCCTAATTTATTTACACTATACATTTTTGTTCTTTCACTCCCCAAAATCCTTGTGTTTTCGGTCAGTGGATAGAGAGAAAAACTGAAAGGGGAGAGAGGAAAAAGAAAAAAAAAAGCAGCTCAAAATCTAAAAAAGAAAAAAAAAAACCTCTCGGCACTGACCTACATTCACAGCTCTCGGCTCAATACTTGATGGGGTGCCTTGAAACGGCAAGCGGTCGGAACCTTCCATAACAAACCAACAGGGGTGATCAACTTCCAACCAACATAGATCTCATCCCAAAAAACAACAATTTAACCCGACACTTCCCCCCTTGACTTCGAAAACATACATTAAAAAAAGCTGATCTATCGATTTTGGGTTGAGGTTATCTATCCGCGATCGGGTAACCCGTGCCCGGCTGACCCTGACCCACCCCGGAGGCCACGAGGGGTTTTCCTAACAAGACCGATCCATTTCGACATCTATGGAGTAATGGAGGCAGGTTCAATATCAGAAGAGGACTTCCTGACTTCCGCACACAGCTTCTTGACTTTGTCCACTGGTAATGTCGATATCTGGGAACTTAAAAAAGTACCTGTAAGTTTAACAACAACAACAACAAAAAAATAAATCTAAAATTATATATTTACGGTTCAGTCAAGCTGCGTTTGAGCGTGCATATTATATATATATATATATATATATATATATATACACACACACATACATACGCACAACACACGTTGCTGTGTGTATGCATACACACATGTAATACTTGCGGTTTATTAAATAAAATGTAATTATTTGTTCATTGACACGTAAAAGAAAACCTTAACAACAGTGATTTACGATTAAATTTTAAAAATGAATTTTCTGATATGAAGAAAAAAAAAAAAAAATAGCTCGTCTTCAGTACACTAAGTCACGTGATCTTTCTTTCTCCAACTGACCAAAATGTACAGAAAAATAATCCTAAAGTAAAGTGTTTTCACTGCTTTTAATGAAATCTGTCTTCAATATTAATTTTTTGCACTTAATGTTGAAGACAGGTTTGTTTTCGCTTTTTTTAAGTGTAATTGCGATATGAGGTAGTGTAAAAACAAAATGTCGGTATTTCATGCTGATGTAGGTTGTGCGTGTGTGCGAGTTCAAATGTCGTTTACACTGACTGCAAAAAGCGTTATTTACTTTTTTTCTTAAACGCATTTGATAATTTAAACCGTATACCTTATAAAAATTAAATAAAATAAACAACAAATCCTTTGAATGAAATGAAAGGAACTAAACATACATTTTTAAACTCACTGCAGGTGTTAGTATTCAAATCAAAGTAATTACACCTGATTTGATACATACAAAAACAGGTAAAAAAATCGACAATAATAATAATAAACAAACTTAATTTTATTTTTAAATATGATCAATTTATTTAAAGGTATAAGAATATTAAAAAATAAGATTCAACGTATTATTGAAATACAATCAATAATTATTTTAAAAAAAGACATACTAATTAAAAATACGATTGATTCAACACATTTTGTATCTTTTCAATAAAAACAATTAAAATGTTCATAATTTTATCTTGAAATATAAAACGGTTTGTGAATGTTTTAAAAATTATTAAATTTTCTTGTTTTAAAATTTAAATGGATTTCTTTAAAATTTAAATAACAAGTGTAAAAAACAAAAGGTAAACTGATATTCTCTTTCTTTTTTCTTTCTCTTTTTTTAAATTTTTAAATAAATGTTTTACTTACAAAAAGGTTGCTCATATATTTTTTTAATCCGCTTGTTTTTTTGTTTTTTTTGGGTTTTTTTTGTAGCTAATAGACAAAAGATTAGAGAGAAACTTGTTATTATTTCCAACGTCCGTGGAAATAGTTAGAAAATAGAAGCATTTATGTGTGTATATTAGAAATATTGTCCTTTTTTCTCTTTTCTTTTTTTTACTCTTCCGAATGAATATCCTTTTTTTGGGACTTGTTCTTTGGCAAAAGCGAAAGATTCAAATTCTTGCTTCCTTCCACACTGGGCCGAATTGAGGAATGACTGTTCGTTTTTATCATTCCGTTAACATTTTTATTCCGTCATTCCGTGTCGATGATAATCATCTACTCCTCCCATTTCACTACGTTCTTTTCTTTTATTTCAGTGTTGGATTATTTTTACGATAATTATTTATTTTTTCTTTCATTATTAATTTAAATATAATACGACAGTGTAAATAAATTAGGTATTCTTAAAGAAATTGCTTCAATTAATTTTTACGTAATGAATGTTGTAAAAAAAACATCGTCATAAACCAAAGAATTAATCAACAAATTTCATTGCTTTTAGTTTTAATTCTAAATTTAAACAATTTAAAAAACGCAATTAATAATAATTCTATCTATCTATCTATTTTTCTCTCTATCTATCTATCTATTTTTCTATCTATCTATCTATCTATCTATCTATCTATCTATCTATAATCTATCTATCTATCAATTTTCTATCAGTCTGTCTTTCTATTTTTCTATCTATTATTTAGTCTATCTATCTCAACATTTCAAACAACCTTGTCTAGTGGGTGAAATGGTAATGTTCTCTGTGTTTGCTTTCAACATCATTGAGTTCAGGTAAGATACTCCGTGTTTGATTTGAGACCAAAACAAAAATTATTTAGAATACAGCTTTCAAGGCAAGCCAGGAATGCCTACTCTTAGGAAGCTGGTGGTGCTACATGATCTTTTTGCTGTCACCAGCAGATTTTACAAATGAGTTGATATTTTTACTTCTGGAGAAAGATTATGTGAGCAAATTAGCATGCACTTTCCACTTTATCTATATATGTAGATTTATATCAAATATGTAAGTTGACAAGTCATTCTCAGATATTTACAAAATAAAGCATACAATTCCCAGGAGGCCATCCCTGCTGGCAGTAACTCTCCTTTGGGAGAGATCTCTGGTCATTACCCACCATCCCCAAAAGTTGAAGTGTCGAGGAGGCTTGTGCAATTTTTGTATATCCCACATTAAACAAAACCTTGTGTCACCTTTTGTGCAGCAGACATTTAGACAAATCCCCACTAGGTAAAGCAAAATGATTTCCCTTCATCTTTTTACTTGTTCATCAAACACCTAATAAATATTTCTAAATATCTAAGTACATAAAGTCATTCTAAAAACAAGCTTATGTAAAATATTTCCTTAATTTATGAGCGTATGACAACATCACATTGAAACACCAGTTCCCATATGATCACCGAAGTTAAGCAACATCAACCTGGTCAGTACCTAGATGGGTGACTGCTTGGGAATACCAGGTGCTGTAAGCTTGGATGTGTGGGTGGTGTAATGGAAAATCGTTCGGAATTGTTATCAGAGAGCTGATTTCCAATTCCAGCTGGGTATGTTATACTTACTCATACACAAACAACCGTGGGAAAGGTATGAATTCACCTCTTCTCCCCTTAGCTATGGATTAATTAGTAAAACTTGTATCACCTCTCTCCATACCAAATATGGTATATGGTTTATATGCCACTAAACTAAGAAACAATAAAAACAATTATGTTATAGGCGATGGTCAACTTTACCATAGTGCAGTGGTTAACAAGCTAGTTGAACTGATGTTAATATTATCGCTGACTAATAAGAACTAAAAGGCTAAATCTCTTATGTATAAAAATTATTGTTTTTTCATTTTTGGACTTAACCTTTTAAGCCCTGTGTTCCTGAACAATTTTAACCCTTCTGCCTGAGCTCCTGAGTCAAAAATCGCAGATAATTGGTATGTAATGTTTCACGGTAGATATAAAAATAGTTACAAGTGTTTATCCACCATTCAACTGGTGGCTGGGCATTATGTCATTTTTCTTTAAAGCAGTGGTCAGGGCTCAAAGGGTTAATTGCAGCAAGTGGGTGTTAGTCTCTGGGGCTTTTCTCCGAACATAGATCCTTCTTCAAGTGAAGATTTGAGAAGCTCTCTCTTTTCTTTTTTCCCCATATGTGTGCAGCTGGATCAACTATCTTTTGACATGTTTGGGACAGCCACTGGCATCCTTTAAGGTGCAAATATGCACCTGGTGGCTAGGAAAATGCCTTACAGCTCAACTCTCTGATGCACCTGGCTTCTTGGATGCTCTGGTGTGACACTGAGTTCAAATTCACACTGGGGTCGCCACAGATCAACTTCTCTTAGAACAAAGGTTCTTTCTTAACGTCGAATTTGATTCAAACCATTTCATATTTCTTGGTATTAATCACATACTGCTCATCGATTACTATTATAAGGTGTCCAATTTTCATTGGATGCCTCACTGCCTGTGACCTTGTGCCAGACTAAGCTAAGCTCAATAAATTTTGAGGAAACAGAATCTTCCAACTCCCATTTCTGATTTGGCCTTTTGCTGTACACATTGAGTGTTGGGTGACTTTTTTCATATTTCAATGTTTATTGCCATTTTTAGGACATTATGTAAACCTTATTATATGTGCCACCTTTATTTTATTTTTCTCATTTTGTATTCGTCATATTTTATATATAAGACTCAACCTCAGTATTCTATGCAAAGTTGATGTATGTGGTAGGCTAATGTTGACCCAGACATCATAGACTACCAGTCCTGGTAACGAGTTTAACTGCATCATAATACAATATTAAATGTAAATAGAGGTTCAAGGAGAGGATTATATGACATTAAATATAGTGCGTACTTTTATAAACTAACTGTGAATATGACTTTCACTTATGATGTCTTATAAATGAAATGAAAGCTTGAATTATTAACAAATGAAACCAAGTTTCTAATTTGTTAATAAGATCTTATTTCACTGCATATTTTTTTTTAGGGTGAACAAATTTCATATCATTTTTATTCGTTTATCATGCTTTTGTTGTTAGTTTGTCTCTCCCAGAGCATAAAGGACATTTGCATGGCAAACTGTCTTTTTGTCCAAAATCCCAAAAGGCAAGGTGTCTCCATGATTAGAAAGTGAATAGAAACATTCTGTAGAAATTTGAAGTGAATTCCAAATGGCAAACCCATTTTTTATCTGTGTATTTGATATATTCGATATATATGTACACACACACACACTTGTGCAAATTAATTGAAACAAAATGAATAATTTCATTACTATTTACTTTTTTTTCATATCTTTCCAATGAAACATAACCCATTGCACATGTTAGTACTTTGTCATGAAGACGTTCCTTGCAGATTGACCACAGATTCTCAATTGGATTTAAATCAGGAGAGTTTCTGAGCCAGTCTATAGTACTTGATTTGCTCACTGGTGAGGCTTGCCAGTGTGTTCATGCAGCATTACAAATTTCATATGCTTCCTTGGAGTAACGTCCATTACAGACAATTGCTGTAGGACAACTAATCGACAGTCAAGACAATAGTGTCTGGACGTGATAAAAATCTGATGCAATCACGGATGCTGCAATATTTTTCAATGGCAAACAATTTTCATCATACACCCAGAAAATAGATTCATATGACTGCACGCCACTTCAAATGACCTAATCTGAGGAAAAAATAGCAATCGATTATATCCTCTCACTCAAGTGGGTCTAAATCTAACCGTATGGTGAAAGAAAGGAAACTAAAGTGGTTGTTTCAATTAATTTTCACAAGGGGATATATATATAACTGACTTCACCCCATGCAAGGTAGTAAAGCCACTTGGGCACAAGGGGTTTACTGGGTGTGGGAGAATTAGAAATAGAAGCATTAATAATGAGTGGAAGGAGAAAAGAGTAATCAGGAGGACAGTAGATTGCTATTGACATTGCATTTAAATTTTTGTAGATTAAAGTTGGTTGGAAAGCCAGAAACTGGAAGTGAGTTCAACAAGTGAGAAGTGCAAGAAAAGAAACTGTTAGAATCGAATTTGCATCTGCATCTTTGTCAGCTCAACTGTAAATTGATGAGATCTCAACACTAGTCTAGTACTACACTTAAATTCAAAAAAGTCTAGGTACAATAGTGAAGTATTCATTCAAACAATTACTGTGAAAGTATTTATAGAAAAGGCACAGGATGGTAGCCCTACAGAGGTGGGAAAGTGACTGAAGCCGAGACAGATATCTTCGTCATGATTGCCTCATGAGCTCTTTCATAACATATTTTACACTTTTCCCTCATTATTAATTTGTTCCTGTTTCTCTGTCTGTCATTCTTAGTCTATCCCTGTCATTATTAGTCTATACCTGTCTCTTCTAGTCTGTCCCTGTCTGTCATTCTAGGTCTCTCTCTCTCTCTCTCTCTCTCTCTCTCTGTCTGTCATTCTTAGTCTATCCCTGTCATTATTAGTCTATACCTGTCTCTTCTAGTCTGTCCCTGTCTGTCATTCTAGGTCTCTCTCTCTCTCTCTCTCTCTCTGTCTGTCTGTCATTCTTAGTCTATCCCTGTCATTATTAGTCTATACCTGTCTCTTCTAGTCTGTCCCTGTCTGTCATTCTAGGTCTCTCTCTCTCTCTCTCTCTCTCTCTCTGTCTGTCATTCTTAGTCTATCCCTGTCATTATTAGTCTATACCTGTCTCTTCTAGTCTGTCCCTGTCTGTCATTCTAGGTCTCTCTCTCTCTCTCTCTGTCTGTCATTCTTAGTCTATCCCTGTCATTATTAGTCTATACCTGTCTCTTCTAGTCTGTCCCTGTCTGTCATTCTAGGTCTCTCTCTCTCTCTCTCTCTCTCTCTCTGTCTGTCATTCTTAGTCTATCCTGTCATTATTAGTCTATACCTGTCTCTTCTAGTCTGTCCCTGTCTGTCATTCTAGGTCTCTCTCTCTCTCTCTCTCTCTGTCTGTCATTCTTAGTCTATCCCTGTCATTATTAGTCTATACCTGTCTCTTCTAGTCTGTCCCTGTCTGTCATTCTAGATCTCTCTCTCTCTTTCTCTCTCTCTCTCTCTCTCTCTCTCTCTGACTGTGATTCTTAGTCTATCCCTATCTGTTTTAGTATATCTGTCGTTCATTATTACTCTATCTCTGTCATTCTTAGTCTGTTCCTATCTATTTTAGTTTTTCCCTGTCTGTCATCCTTAGTCTATCCGTGTCACCTTTAATCATTCTCTGTCAGTTTTAGTCTATTCCTGCCTCTTTTTTTCTGTCCCTATGTGTCATTCTCAGTCTAGCCCCTATCTCATTTAGTCTGTCCTTGTCATTCTTAGTCTATTCCTGTCTGTTTCCATCTTTTTCTGTTCGTCATTTTTACTCTATCCCAGTCTCTTCTAGTCTGTCCGTGTCTGACATTCTTTGTCTATCTCTGTCTATTTTAGTCTGTACCTCTCTGTCATTCTTAATATACCCTTGTCTATCTCTGTCTGTTATTCTTAAACTATCCCTGTCTCTTCTAGCCTGTCGCTATCTTTGATTCTTAATCTATCCTTGTCACTTTTAATCTGTCTCCGTCTGTCCTTCTTAGTCTATCCCTGTCTCTTCTAGTCTGTCCCCGTCTGTCCCTGTCTCTTCTTGTCTGTCCTTCTTGTCTGTCCCATTCTGTCCTTCTTAGTCTATCCCTGTCCCGTCTCCTGTCTTTCTTGTCTGTCCTTCTTGTCTGTCCCATTCTGTCCTTCTTAGTCTATCCTGTCTCTTCTAGTCTGTCCCGTCTGTTCCTGTCTCTTCTGTCCCCCGTCTGTTCCTGTCTCTTCTTGTCTGTCCTTCTTGTCTGTCCCATTCTGTCCTTCTTAGTCTATCCCTGTCTCTTCTAGTCTATCCCCGTCTGTTCCTGTCTCTTCTTGTCTGTCCTTCTTGTCTGTCCCATTCTGTCCTTCTTAGTCTATCCCTGTCTCTTCTAGTCTGTCCCCGTCTGTTCCTGTCTCTTCTTGTCTGTCCCCGTCTGTTCCTGTCTCTTCTTGTCTGTCCTTCTTGTCTGTCCCATTCTGTCCTTCTTAGTCTATCCCTGTCTCTTCTAGTCTGTCCCCGTCTGTTCCTGTCTCTTCTTGTCTGTCCTTCTTGTCTGTCCCATTCTGTCCTTCTTAGTCTATCCCTGTCTCTTCTAGTCTGTCCCCTCATCCTTCCTTCTTCTATCTGTCCCATTCTGTCCTTCTCTTCTAGTCTGTCCTTTTTGTCTGTCCCATCCCTGTCTCCTGTCTTTCTAGTCTGTCCCCGTCTGTTCCTGTCTCTTCTAGTCTGTCCCCATCTGTTCCTGTCTCTTCTTGTCTGTCCTTCTTGTCTGTCCCATTCTGTCCTTCTTAGTCTATCCCTGTCTCTTCTAGTCTGTCCCCGTCTGTTCCTGTCTCCTGTCTGTCCCCGTCTTCCCTGTCTGTCCCCATTCTGTCCTGTCTATCCTGTCTCCCTATTCCTGTCCTTCTTGTCTGTCCTT